AAATGGACTAAATGTGCCAATCAAAAGGCAGAGAATGGCAGGATGGATTTGTATGTGTGTATATATATAGAGAGAGAGAGTGAGAGAGAAAGACATACATATACATACATATATATATATAGAGAGAGAGAGAGAGAGAGAGAGACATGATCCAACTGTATTCTGTTTACAAGAGACACACCTTAAACCCAAGGACACAAATGGTTGAAAGTGAAAGAGTGGAAAAAATATTCCATCAACTAATAAAAAAGAGCGGGGGGTGGGGGGAGGCAATCTTCACAACAGGTAAAGTAGACTTTAAGACAAAATCTGCCAGAGGAGATAAAGATGGACATTAAATTGTGATAAAAATGTCGATTAATCAAGAATATTTAATAATCATGAATATATATGCCCTCAACATCAGGATACCTAAATATATATATATATATATATATATATATATCAGCAAACACTGATAGACTTGCAGGGAGAAATAAATAGTACTACAATAATAGTCGAAGACTTCAATATACCACTATCAGTATTGGACAGAACATCTAGAAAGAAGATAAACAAGGAAATAAAGGACTGAATGATGCTATAAACCAACTAGACTTCACAGATATATATAGAACACTCCACCCAAAAACAGCACAATATACATTCTACTCCAGTGCACATGGTTCATTCAAGTCTTCAAGATAGACTACATCTTAGTTCACAAAGTAAGTCCTGATAAATTTTAAAAAGATTGAAATCATACAGAGTATTTTCTCTGACCACAATTGAGTGAAGCTAGAAATCAATAATAGAACAAAACCTGAGAAATACACAAATAAATGGAAACCAGACAAAGATACCACAAGAATAGAAAACTGCAGGCCAATTTCTCTTACAAATATAAATGCAAAAATTCTTAACAAAACACTTGTTGTTGTTGTTGTTGTTGTTGTTGTTGTTATGTGCCGTCGAGTCGGACCGGACTCATAGCAACCCCTCCTTGGGTTTCTGAGACAGTATCACTATGGAAGTAGATTGCCCCATCTTCCTTCCAAGGAGTGGCTGGTGGGTTTGAACTGTCAGCCTTCTGGTTAGCAGTCAAGTGCCTTAGCCACTATGCTACCAAAGCTCTAACAGCATATTAAAAGTCTTACACTGTAACTAAGTGGGGTTTAGTCCATGAATTCAGGGTTAGTTCAGCGTTAGAAAATCAATCAAAATAATACATACATCAATAAAACAAAACAAAAAAACCCTATGATCATCTCTATAGATGCAGAAAAAGCATTTGATAAAATTCTACACCTTTCTTTATGAAAACCCTAAGGCAGATTGGAATAGAAGGAAAATTCCTTATACGATTCAGGGCCCATATGCAAAACCAATAGCCAATGTTATGCTTAATGGAGAAGGATTGAGAACTTTCTCCTTGAAATTGGGAACATGACAAGGGTGTTTGCTCTCAACCTTGTCTATTCAATATTGTATTAGAAGTCATATTCAGAGTAATAGGACAACAGAAAAGAAGAAAAGGTATCTAGGAAAAGAAAAAGTAAAATTATCTCTATTCACAGATGATATGATCTTGTGTATAAGAAATCCCAAAGAGACCATAAGAAAACTTCAACAGCTAATAGGGGAATATAGCAAAGTTGCAGGGTACAAGATAACAAACGAAAATCAGTTGGGTTTCTGTATACCAGTAAAAACAAATCAAAAAGGAAATTAGGAAAACAATTCCATTTACAATAGCATCTGAGAAAATAAAATACTTAGGAATTAATCTAACCAGGGATGTGAAGGACTCATACAATGAAAGCTGTAAAACACTGCTGAAAGAAATTAAAGAAGACTTAAATAAATGGAAAGATACTTCATGCTCGTGAATTGGAAGACTTAATATTGTTAAGGTGCCAATACTACCCAAAGCACTTGATAGATTCAACACAATCCCAATCAAAATTCTAACAGCCTTCTTTACATAAATAGAGAAATGAACCCACAACTTTACACGGAAGAACAAGAAGCCTCAAACAGCCAAAACATCTTGAAAGAGAAGAACAAAGTAGGAAGACTCACACTTCCTGATTTTACATACTATACAGCCACAGTAATCAAAACAGCCTGATGTTGGTATAACAAGATACATCGACCGATGAAACAAAATCGAGAGTCCAAAAATAAACCCATACATCTATGGTCAACTGTTTTTTGACAAGGGTTCTAACTCCATTCAGTGGGCACAGGAGAGTCTCTTCAATATATGGTGCTGGGAATATTGGATTTCTACATTCAGAAAAATGAGACAGAATCCATGCCTCACACTATACACAAAAACAAATTCAAAATGGATTAAGACCTAAATGTCCAAACTAAAACCATAAAATTCTTAGAAAAATAAGCAGGGGCAACACTGTGAGGCCTAGCTTTAGACAATGGATCATCTACTATAATAACAAAAATATAAACAACAAAGGACAAAATAAATAAATGGTACCTCAAAAATTAAAACTTTTGTTCATCAAAAAACTCTACCAAAAAAAAAGTGAAAGGACAAGCAAGTGACTAATAGAATATTTTTGGAAACCTCATACCTAATAAGAATCTAATAATCAAAATATATATTAAGTTTTGACAACTTAACCACAAAAAGGCAAATTACTCAATCATAAACAGCAAAGGACTTGAATAGACATTTCATCAAGAGGAAATTCAAATGGGCACCAAATACATGAAAAGATGTTCAACATCATTAGCCATCAGAAAGATGAAACTAAAAACCACCATAAGCTACCATTGCATTCCTACTTGGACGCCTAATAAATTTTAAAAAATAAATAAAAACAGAAAATAACAAATGGTGACAAAGTGTGGGGAAACTGAAACCCATATCCATTGCTGGTTGGAATGAAAAATGGTACAAATGTTGTGGAAAACAATGTGGCTATTCCTCTAATAACTAAAAGTAGAACTACCATACGAACCAGCAATTCCGCTCCTAGATATACATCCAAAAGAGTGGAAAGCAGAGACTCAAAAAGAGACCTGAATGGATAACAAAGTGTAATATATACATACAATGGAATACTACTCAGCCAGCAGGAGAAATGAAGTTTTTATATATGCCATAGTATGGATGGAGCTTGAAGACATTATGCTGAGCAAAATAAGCCAGTCACAAAAGGACAAATATTGTTTTATCTCTCTTATATAAAAAGACAAAAGAAGTCAAATGTATAGAGACCAAAGTTAATTAGTGGTTCCCAGGAGTCAGAGGGAAGGAGAAAAGAGAGGCTGATGATGCTGGGAAAACTGCATTGATTAAGGATAAGGTTGAACAGCTGATTATTGTAATTGCTGTCAATAAGTTGAACACTTGTAAAAAGTAAAACTGGCGAAAGTTGTGTGATAGATATAATTACAACAGTGACAAAAAAAGAATAGCTGTTGAGACTTCTTGTGTACAACCAAACATGTCATGGTATTTGGTTCCTTGGTTTAGAGGTTTAGGGACATGGTTACATGGAACATCCCAGTTACTTGGTCTAATAACATGCTTAGTGTATGTGTTGTACATTCTAGTTCATTGCATAGTGTCTAAGGCTTTTAAAGCTTGAAAGTGGCCACCCAAGGCACAACAATTGGTCTCTATTCATACAGAGCAATTAAGAAAAAAGAGGAATCAGGAATAGGAGGAAGATATGGGATGTGTAGCTAATTGCTCCCATGAACAACTGCCTCCTTTGCCATGAGACCAGAAGAACTTCATGGTGCCCGGCTATCGTTACTGAACATTATGATGAAAGATTCCATGGAAGAATCCGGAGCAAAAGGGAGAACAGAATTTCAAATTCTCATGAACTCTAGGCTTTCTGGAGCCATAGAAGGTGAAGGAACCCCTAAAACTATTGTCCAGAGATAATCTTTAAATCTTAAACCAAACTTATCCCCTGAAGTCATCTTAAAACCAAACAATAATTTTGCTTAACTAGAAGATGGGGCAATCTACTTCCGTAGTGATACTGCCTTGGAAACCCAAGGAGGGGTCGCTATGAGTCGGGTCCAACTTGACGGCACATAACAACAACAACAACAAACCTTGAGCATCTTGCTGCTTTAAGATCTATCTATATGGGATGATTTGACAGGAAGCTTCAGGAGCAGTGAGTTGATGTTAAGGAAGGAGGAACAACTCAAAAAAAGAGGGTGAGAATGGTTGCACAACTCAAAGAATGTACTCAATGTCACTAAATTATGCATGTAGAAACTGTTGGATTGATGTATGTTTTGCTGTTGTATTCTCAACAACAACAATACATTAAAAAAAAAAAAAAACCATATAACTGAGTGACCAAAACTTACAAGGAGTCATTTACCCAACGAATGACTTCATGAAGAGTCTGCTGTCAATGACTTCAAAAAACGTATTCCCTGCCTTTTTCTTTTTCTTTCTTTTTGAATTTTGGTAAATATATATGTAACAAAACATTTGCCGTTTCAACAATCCTCATATGTACTGTTTAAGGGACATTGATTATCCTCATCATGCTATTAAACCATCACCCTTATCCATTCCCCCCCCCTTTTTTTTCCATCACCCTTAACAGAAGCTCAGTGTTCCCTAAGCATTAAGTCTTCCTTTTCCCCTCCCGCCTGCCCATCTCTGGTAACCACTCGTAAACTTTGGTCTCTACACACTTGTTTATTCCATGCATTTTATGTAAGTGGGATTACGTAATATGTGTCCTTTTGTACTGACTTACTTCACTCAACATGGTCCCTGCCTTCTTCATAAATAATTTCTCATAGAACTACTTAATTCACCTTTAGTAGGTAAATTTTAGCTACAAGAAATATTAATTACTTAGGGAGAAAGGCAGAGTCTACCTGCTTGCATTCATTAGAGCCATAAGCAGTGGCATCCCCTCTTTCCAGCCAGATCCCCAAAGCCGCTTCCCAAACAGAAACTCACAGAGGCAACATTTTTCCTGCTACTGCCATAGGCTTTCTTCACTCACCTCAGGAAATTTCTTTTTCTGCACATATTCAGTGGTGGCAGAGTCAAAATATTTGGCATATCCTTCATTGAGGCTGTAAATTTTTCCTTTCTTCTTTATCTTGACATCTTTTTCCACCAAGACAAATTCACCAAGAGCCTAGAAAGATGAAGAGAGAAACCAAGGAGAAAAAAAGCAAGGCAACAGCACACTCCACTGTAGTCAGAAAACATCAAAACCTAAAAGTTGGCCACAGTCATTCTGGAACCTTCCTAATGATGGTTTTATGGTTTGTATAAATAACAGTGATACTATTGAGACTACAGAGGAATCTCAAGCAATGGTAAAATAATGAAAAGGAAAGTGAGCCCAAGGCTTTCTTTCTATTCCTTTGTTGACTTCCACCAGTGATTCACATTTTGTTGCTCTGTCAGCTAAGTTTCTCACGTATTAGGAACCTAGTTATGTTTATCGCTCAAATTCTCATTCCCATTTAATTCCTGGTATTTCTAGGAAGATTTGGCCAATTGACAGTGAGAGGGAGAAGGATACACTTGACCACTAATTTGTGGTACAATTACTTTGTTTATCCAATGACTCAATCCATTGCTGTTGTTAAGTGCTGTCAAGTTGGGGCCTACTCATAACAACCCTATATGCACAACAATGAAATATTGCCTGGTCCTGCACCATCCTCACAATTGTTGTTATGTTTTAGCCCATCATTGCACAACTGTGCCAATCCATCTCATTGAGGTCTTCTTCCTTTTCATTGACCCTCTACTTTACCAAGCATGATGTCCTTCTCCAGGGACTGGTCCCTCCTGATAACACGTCCAAAGTAAGAAGTCCCACCATCCTTGCTTCTAAGGACTGTGCTGACTGTACATCTTCCAAGACAGATTTGTTCATTCTTCTGGCAGTCCGTAGTACATTTAATATTCTTCACCAACACCATTATTTCAAATACATCAGTTCTTCTTTAGTCTTTCTTATTCATTGTCCAGTTTTTGCATGCATATAAGTGATTGAAAGTACTATGGCTTGGGTCAGGTACACCTTAGTTCTCAAGGTGACATCTTTGCTTTTTAACACTTTAAAGAGGTCTTTTGCAGCAGATTTGCCCAGTGAAATACTGTGTCTGATTTCTTGATTGCTGCTTTCATGGACATTGATTGTGGATCCAAGTGAAATGAAATCCTTAACAACTTCAATCTTTTCTTGATTTATCATGATGTTGCTTATTGGTCCAGTTGTGAGGATTTTTATTTTGTCTATATTGAGCTGTAATCCCTATGAAGGCTGTAATCTTTGACCTTTATCGTTAAGTGCTTCAAGTCCTGTTCTCTTTCAGCAAGCAAGATTGTATCAACTACTTATCAGAGGTTGTTAATGAGTCTTCCTCCAATCCTAGACTGAATTCTAGAAACCATTAAAAGTTCCTGGTATTCCAGTAACTTATCTCTGAGGAAAAGAGGAAGTCCCTTCTATAACAACCTGTGTAAATTTGGTGTAAAGACATAATTGGCAAAATTTGAGGGAATCTTGTTATTAATAAAACTGTGCCCAGTCTCTGTAGACAGGTTCATAGCCACCATGGTCAAAACCTGCAGAGTACCTCTCAAGGACTCTTGTAGTTGAGAGCTGGGGATATCAGTCCCTAAGGATGTGGTAAGCTAGCTTCAAACATCACCCTGGTGGTGTTAGTTGCTGTTGAGTAAGTTCCTGCTCATAGTGATGTTACATACAACAGAACAAAATGTTATCTGATCTGTGCCACCCTCACTATCATTGGAATACTTGAACCCACTGCTACAGTCACTGTGTATTTTGAGTGCTTCCTACCTATATTGGGCAATATTCTGTTGTAGTCCATAGGGTTTTCATTGGCTGATTTTTGGAAATAGATTACCAGATCTTTCTTCCTAGTCTGTCTTAGTCCAGAAGCTCAACTTAAAAGGATAACTCTGCTGGTATTTGAAATACCAATGGCATAGCTTCCAGCATCATAGCAACATGCAAGTAACCACAGATGACAACCTGACAATGGTGGACATATCACTTTAAATGACTGTGTATCTCTCTAAGTCACTAGGAGGAAAATCGGAGCCTGCAAATCTAATCCATTTTGATGAATATCAAAGACTTTGAAAAAGTGAAAATCTCCCCAGATGGTAGTTCACAGCTGGAAGCTAGATGAGGAGGTTCCCAAATGAATAGAAATGACACTGCCAGAATTTAAAAAGAAACAAGGCCAAGTGCCCATTTCTGAAATAAGACAGTGACAAGGACACCCTGCAACCACAAAAATAACTAAACAACCGTCTCTGCTGCCTAACATGAGTGTCAACATCTTGTCAATGAATTTCTAGTCACTTACATCTTCTAAATAAAAATTACTAAAGTATCTAGTCATTAATTGCACTCACTTCTAGACAATATTCAGTTCAGAACTGATCCTTTCTTCCTAAAATCCTTCTAAGAATCATCAAGCTAAAGCTCAAATGCAATAAAAAGCCCATCCCAACTCCTTCTTACCAAGACATCCTACAGTTCCTCTAAAGTGCATTGTCCTCTGCTCAGTAAACCCAATTTTTATTATTAAAATAGACATGTTGATGGTCTTTTGTTAGTGGGCTTTAATTGTTTCCATGGGCACCTGTTGCTTTGGAACAGCCCAGCATTGATTTTCATTTTGTAAAAGCACCTTTACTTCCACCGAAGAATTAACTCTTCCCAAACCCACCAGCCACTCCTTGTAAGGAAGATTGGGCAATGTACTTCTGTAGAGATACCGCCTCAGAAACCCAAGGAGGGGTCACTATGAGTCAGATCTGACTTGACAGCAGTGAGTTTTGTTTTGTTTTTTTTTTCTGGTTTACTGGATGACAGTCTAGGATGACTGTACTCTGGGACTCCTCCAACCAAAGGTCAGGCACCTAGCTTGGCAAATTAGATACTTTCTTCCTGGCACCTAGCTTGGCTAATTAGATACTCCTTTGAAAGCTGAGCAAGAGAACCAGAAACCACTGGTGGTGTCTAGACCGAACTGAGCCTGCTATGAGACCATTCCTGTGATTCATGCCTCCTAGTTCTGCAGCCTGCCTATGTCTAACCTAGCTCCTCAGCTTTTCCATCCATGCAGGTTAATAGCACACTTTACTTAACTGAGCCAGGATTGTTTTCTCTCTTGCTTAACAGCAAAGAACAATGAAAGACACACAACTGTCATCTACGTAATGATATTCACTTGCCCAGCTGAATGGAGAAGCATCTTCTGCATGAATGTGAAGATGGAAAGACTAGAGTGGGACCACTCAGGACCTTAGGGACTTGACCTCTATTGTGGGTCACAACCACCAATTATTAATATGGCCTCCCACATTCCTTGAGAAGAAGATAACTGATTATCAGGCACAACAACCTTGTCACTCAGAAATAGTATCTCTCATCATAAGCAATGCCTTAATGTTGTGATTTATACCACAATTGAGAATTTGTTAATATGAGGTGGTCCCTCTGTGCCTGAATAAAATGAGAGCTCAGACCTTATGTTAGGAACTTGTGAAAATGGTGTAAGGGAAAATGGTGTCTGACCTCTTCACAAGGGAGGAGAAGGATCAAGATCAACACCACAAGGCTAATTCCTATGAGGTGGAAGTCAGACATGCCTCCATCTTCCAACTTCTTCTTCTTCTTCTTCTTCTTTTTTTTTTTTTTTTTTACCAATTCTGACACCAACCATCCCTCTCACGCACTCTCTACTTCTCTGCTGGGTTTGATAATTCAATCCAGTGGCTACACACAACTCACAGACAATACTCATGATTGGGGGTGGGGGGAGGTTAAGGAAGTAACAGGTCACAATTCAGGATCAGGAATGCTCAGGATACAATTCTTTGATCAGGACAGCCACTTCTCAACAGTGCCCACAAGCATGCTTCTCTCTGACCCTCAACTTCTTGGCCCTGTGGCCCCACAGCCTTTGCCCTGCTCGGACAAGTGTTATAAAGGTCTTTTAGTTCTGTCAATAAGTGCCTAGAGGCAACCCACTCTGCCAGCAAGGCTTGACTGGAAGGTACTCAGCTTTAGCTCCGTGGATTGGCAAAATTAGCTCAACCAAGTGCCCTCAGACACCTCACTTCTCCAGCAAACCTTCTACCTGAAGGTCTGGAAGGAAGTCCACTGAACTGTCTTCTGCTGGTCCCTGGTTCTGCTACCACTGTTTCTCTGTCACTGCTTCTTGCCTCTATCATCATCTCAGTGAAGTATTACAGTTCTCTCTCTTTGTCTCCAGGGTCAAGGAGGTTCAGCACAAAGATCTCAGATCGAAAGCACATACTCCACTCCTGGCCTTTCTTTCTTGATGGTAATGTGGTCCCCCTTTCCACCTCTGGGATGGCTCATTTTAAGCCTAGCAGAATGGCAAAACTGACCAATCCCCACATTAGTGTCCCACACATCTTTTTTGTATGGGCCCACCCCCACAAAGGTGTCATGTACCTTATTTACATTATTAGCAACCGATCAATCCTTGATGGGCCACAAGGACCTCACATTTGCATAGTCCCATCCAGTCATTTGGTGGGAGTTACAAAGTTAAAAGGGTTTTGTTAAGTAATTCACTGCACTACAGAATTCTTGTGTCTTTATTTAATTATATCTTTCTTCAGTCAGGCTGTGCTATATTCTCTTTCATTTCTCTGAGTGATCATTTCCTCATTGTGGAAAGTGTGGAGAATAACAAAAACCTAATTAAGCAGTTGTCTACCAGTTACTTCTTCCTGCAGGAAGGATATTTCTATTAGGGGAAATCTTTCAAGCTTGAGCTGTGCAATTGGGTAGCCACTGGTCATGTGGGCTATTTAAACTAGTTAAACTGAAATAAAATTACAAATCCAGTTCCTCAGTCACAGCAGCCACATTTAAAGCATTCAATAGCCACATGAAACTAGTGGCTACTGTATTGGACATTGCAGATGACAGAACGTACCCATTGTGATGGTTACCTTTTTTTTTTTAATCCTCACAACTAACCTTTTGTGATGGTTACCTTTACATGTCAACTTGATTAGCCTAGGTTATAAACACATGAGAGGAGGGTCTGGGTTGATACAGCTGACTCACCCCCAAAACACCCCCACTTTGATGAAGGTCCTTCATGTTTTTTGATGATGGTGTTGGCTCCCCAAATAAGTCTCTCTGACTCTCTGGCCCCAAGAGCAAGGAAATTACCACAGGGGATTGGAATTACAATCCAGAGGCCCATGGAGGCCCAAATGCTGATGCCACCACATTAAGTACCTACTGGGTCAAGCATGAAGAGGTCCACTCCTTGCCCAGTGGAAAGAGCCACCAGGGTTGCACTCCCATAGAGTGCATAGCCGGCAGCCACAATATTGCGGCCAGGCTGCAAGGCATCCTTTTCTGAAGGCTCGTCATCTGTGATCTGTGGAAGAGAGCAGAGAAACGTGTGTGTGATTGTTGTCTCTGAAGAAAACCCTTTGCCAGGGGGAGCCCTGGGCTTCAGATCTCCTTCAACCACTGGAGGAAGCATAGTTCTCAGAATTTCCAGCTACAAAAAAATACTTCCAGAGGAAACTAGCTGCCGTGTTAATAAATGGTTGTAGCTGAGCCATGGCAAAGGCCTTTCTTGGCCATCTTCTTTATTTTCTGAACATATCCATCTGCATCCTGCCAAAAACAGCACTCCGAGATGCTAAAACCACAGCCCCTCTGTGTTGGATTGGGTTCTCTAGAGAAACACAAAAACCAGCAAAGTATATATATATATATATATAT